CCCCAAAACCCCAAAACCCCAAAACCCCAAAACCCCAAAACCCCTCAAGAAAATGGTGCGATTGAAAGAATTCATTAAGCTTCAGAAATTTAATTCTCTACTAAACCTTTGTTCTCTCTCCCCTCTTAATAGCATTTCTTATATTTTTAAGTTCTTCCTCATCATCTTCCTCTTCATCTGTATAACTCTGGCTGTCATCCTTATCGTACCGTCTGTGTGAACTTTTGAAGAATTTCCTAAACATGAGTTCAGTTCTCAACACAGCTTACCCAATAGGAGTATTTTTAAGTTTCTCTTTGAGCCCAAATGCCTTAAAAAGCACGATTATTATTACTATATTGCTAGTTAATCACTTTGTACTTCCTTCAGCTCTGTTTTAAGAGCTACTAACCTGCCCGAGACTTACTGCTAACAATGGAGATTTCGATCATGACCCAGAAGAAAGATTTGACATATCCAGTGACCCTCTGTTCTGTGCCAAGCCAGGTATTGTTCACATTTTTAGGGTCTGTCAGTCCGAAAGAAGAGAATGTGTGGTTACTTAGAGAGTTGTGGTTGAGGTTAAAACCAACACTCTGGGTTGTGATTATTGACTATAGATGATAATGGGGTCGTACAGGATCGTCTTCATCATCTTCTAACTCTTCTATGGTCTTGTATTCAATTTCTTTCTGCGTAGGATTTATTAGTGTCCTCTTTTTGGTCCTCACATTTCCATTAGCGTCAATGGTCCTCTCTTCTTGTTGAATGATCACTTCTTTGCTTTCTTTTTATTCTCATCATCAATCCACGGATCAACAAAGCTACCTTCGAATGCATCCATTACTCCTCTTACAACTTTAGCTGTATCCTCTCCTAGATCTTCCAAATCTATACTCCATCATTACACAAGCTAAAATCTTAAAATCAGGAACAAAGGTTGGGGCTTCCACAGTAGAAATTTGGGTTGAAACAGGGGCAGCAGAGATTGTGCCTGGATAGTGGGGATTGGTGGGAAGGAAGTTTTGGAGAGGATTTGGTGGGGATGAGGGGAAGGGGATTAGGGAGGGTTGACTTACATTCGGAGGCTTCAGCCCATTGGTCTGAGGGTGGGGAAGTGTCCTCGCATTTGGTGAAGAGGAGGAGGGATAAGAAAAAGAGAAGTTTTATTGGCATTTTTTTTGTTAAAATATTCTATATCCTAAGACGAATTTGGGGTTTTGGGGTTTTGGGGTTTTGGGGTTTTGGGGTTTTGGGG